AGCCTATCTAATGTTTTCCCAGTGTTAGATGCATTTCGGAATTGTTGTTGAAGGAGTACTTGGAGAAAACTGACATGAACTTGGGAATATGAGATTCCACATAACGCCAAGTTTTAACCCACAATCCTGAGGTATGCCATATTCCATCTCAAACTCATTTCCTTTCTGTTGCCTTGTACTGGTCATTTATAATAAATTATTATCCTGTTTTTCCCACTGAAATGCTGTTTGGAGACAATTCACAGATGCTCGCAGGAAAATGGACTTACCAAAACAATGTTCCCCAATGGTTTTTTGCAGACAACACACAGTTAAACACAGTTAAAATTAGACACGTGTTTGACGGTTTATGCCCACTAAAAGGGCTTGAGAAGATTTCTGGGAAAGGAAGCAATTTAAACATCTGCAGTCAGAGAAACGATGGCCTTAATATTTCTGCATTAAAGCAGGGAATGCTTCTCACATCAAATGATATAGGAAAAGGAGTGTAATCTTCAAGTTCTCCAATTTGTGAAAAAATATAACAAGCTGTCACAGAGGCAATTAGGCCTAATCGGCTAATTACTCCGATACAGCTGACTTCACAGTGAGAACGAACAAGGTCCTTCTGCCCCTGAGGTCTTTCTGGGATCAGAAAGACTTTTGTTTCTCGTTCTCTGTATCTTAAACCGCAGCACATAGTCAGCCTGCTCTGCCTGACTGGAGGAGCTTCGCCTCATTAGGCATCAATGCCCAGCGTGTGCCAGCTGCACTATGGGATCCTGTGGCTGCTGAGGTGCAGAAGGCTGCTACCAAGGACCCTTTTGAGGGACACATTCAAGGAGCACCTCGCCGGCGCTTGCGATCAGTCATCCTTATCCTGGTTTATTTATAGCTTGGCAGCCTTTATTCTGGATAAGATTTGGACTAAGTGGAGTCCCTGGTTCTGAGAAGGAGACCTGAGGCCGGTTTGTAAACATCTTGGTGGACATCTGCTGCTCACTTGGGTTTTCTCTTTTCTGAGTGTTTGAAGCATCATATCTGTTACTGTAATTGTTTCGTATCACACCGTGGACACTGGGCACGATGTTTGGGGGGGGGGGGGGGAGAGACCTACAAGGGAGGGAAGCCACCAGGATTGTCTAGCAGGACTCTTGGTATCTTTCATTAATCTTGTTATGGTCAGAGTTTGATCCAAGACTTTTTTACACTTGTAGCTTTCCTGTTGGCTTTAGATCTAATGAATCCATTTCATTATATTGCTCTTGTTAAAAAGTATTTTTTCCCCTTAGAACTGAATGGAGCTTTTTTTAACGCCACCCTGTAGTGTGGTGGCTGGAATCAGCACGTCTGCCATCAACAATCAGAAACGTGTTACAAATAGCGCAGACTATATTTAATGCCCATTTGCTTTAGAATGGGCAATAAATACCAAAGTGAGTACCAAAAGTCCACCAAGATGTTTACAATACTCTTCACAATGTCTGTATGCTTTATGTATTCATTCACACCCATGATGCTGCTAACCTTCGTCGACCATCAGTGTTAATGAGGTGGTGTACTGCGATGTCATGGAGTCAGAATAAGTTAGGATCACTTTATCCAATTTTCAAAGAAACTGGTTGATGGTTTAACTGGAACATCACATATTACCGCCGAAGGCAAAATACACTGGTATTGAAATCAAGAAACTGAAGTCATCTTATAGATTCACAAAATGTACTAAGAATTTTTGCTGTAATAAAATCTCTGGGAAATCCTGCTTGGATTAATAAGAAGCTGAATGCCTACTGAGGAGCTTCTGAGGAGATTAAATAGCACACTATCCATTCTTTGCAGTGGAGCCTCCAGCCTCTGAAGCCTGTCATGACTGGGCTGACTGCTCACATCTCTCTGTCAGTCTTAGTGGCTTCCATACACCACATTGTCTTCCATCTCTCCATTTACTTTTCATGAACTTCTTCGTGTTTTGCATAAATTGTAGTTAGCACTGAGTAATGTATTGTTATACTTGGTTGCATAGAAAATTTCCTTCTTCCTCCCCAGGCAGCAAACATTTTCACTGTCCAACTCTCCCCATCCGTCTAAGCCTGGTGATTCATCTTTGTGTCATCTGTCCTTCTCCTGTTCTCATTCCCCCTTGGCTCTCCTGTATATTCCAGGTAAACACCTGATCACAAGGTTTCTACTGACAAGGCCTCTATCCATCTTCTAACAGTTCATCCTGCTCAGGGACATAGGACTGATGGCACAGCGAATGCCATTTGTAAACAGTATCCAGATAATGTCATAAATTACCATGACTTCCAAGTCATCGATTTTCAAATTAAAAAATCTGCCAAAGGCAAACAGGAGCAAATCATCAGAGAGTGTCCAGTGGAACAGCTTAACACAGAATTAATTAAGAGGCTTCGTTAAAGCCATTTTGCAAGCCGCCTATCTTGAAGCTGGGCACAGTGCCTGGCTTTATTTCAACCATGAATAATGTATCACTTCTTTCTGCCCTGCTCCCCCCGAAAGAACCCCTCCCACACACCATTACCCACGTCACTAAGAATAATGTCTGTGATGGCTGCTTAAACAAAGTTGCTATGTAAGTCCAGCACTCTGCCCCTATAACTGCCCAGTAATGCATTACTCTGGCTGAAAGTAATGGCTCTCATTCTTTTACACAGCTTGGTGCATTATTTTTAATTACACTTCCTTTTTCCACGGTACAGAAGAAACACGGAAACAGGTGCTATCTGGTGAGGTTTAACATTGCTACCTTGGACAGCTTTCAGGCTGGGCTGGACTGCGATTACAAAATGGCTCTGGATTTTGGGTTCCCCAACAGCCCAACTGTAAATTTAGCTAAGATGGAGGAGGTCCAGCCAGGATCACTTCAATGAGCTGTTTTGGCAGAATACCAATTTTAAAAACCTGTGTAGTTTGTCCTTAACTTATTTTGCCAGAGTGCTGCATACAGAATGTTGTTACATGGCCAATTAATCAACTTGATACATTAATACTGTTTTAACTAATGTCACATATACAAATAGTACACAACCGCTCCATATTTGTAAGACTTTGTTGCATCACAATTAAAAAAAAATAAAAAATAAAAAATTACAAAACTATATGACAAAGTTGCTCATGCGGACATCATTGATAGGGGGGGGACTTGTCACACCGGTGGGGGATAATGGTCCCCCAGTATGGCTTTTTTTTTTTTTTTAGCAAAAAAGGGGACTAAACTGCAAATCAAATAACACACAGAAAACAAATGCAATGGGCAACAAGAGGAAAGATTAAGAGCAGGCACACATATACACATGTGACAAGCGCTAAACAAGGGACAGGTGTGAACCATTACAATTAACCAAACACTAAAGACTAGGGGCAACAAGAAACAGCTGTGGGTCATTAAGAATCAATAAAAGAACTGAAACGCTAGTAACAGGATGGTCAGTGAAACCTACTGGTCAAACAGGGGAACTACAGCAACTGACCCAGACAGCTTTGACAGTCACTGTTTCTTTAGAAAACTCTTGAGTGTGTCTTGCTGAATTTCTCACACAGACCAATTTCCTGGACCATCTTGAGTCTGATTTCAGGCTGGGACTGCTGCTCTTTCTGTTGTGGATGCTGTCAGAGCTCTAAAAGCTCCATCTGCACATTTTTTAGATTTATGTTTCCCCTCTTTCCTGCCCAGGAAAAGCAATTATAAGATGGATGGATGGTTGGATGAAAGTATTTTTATGTTAAATTCCTTAAGTTCTTATGTTCAGTATTTATATTAGCCATCAATTCACTGCTAATAACCAACTATCCAGTACAGGGTGCTATTTATATTATATTAATATTTGCATTTACTAGTCAAGGTAGTAGTTAATTTTCATAACACTTTATTCCAGTGAAACCAATGAAATATCAGTTTTATTTGCTAGGTTTCCGCTTGGAAATGTACCATTAATTTGTTGTAATAACACTCCTTTCTCTTTTCATAGATTTTATTAGAAGATGCAAAACATAATAAAGTTAATTGAATATAATGACGTTTATTAGTGTGTTATGAGAAAACTGAGCTGCCTGAGTACTTATTAGCCTATATATATTTAGACTGAAAGGGAGGAAATGTGAACGCATCACTTAAGAACATAAACGCAAGCAAACCAGTTTACAAAAAGATTAAAAGCAAATTATCACAATCCATAACGCCAAATAATAAAGGCAGACAAAACACATACCGACTATTATATATAAATTTAGAAATTGAAAATAATTTTATCGTAAATACAATGAAGTGTTTATATTGTGTGATGGGCTTATCCTATTGCGTTAATTGGTGCTTTACTGAAGTAATCAATGTGTTACTTTTCTGCTTATCATTGTACGTACTACGTAAAACACGTAGAAATAGAATAATAAATTCTTTACACGTAATATGCATATAAAGTAGCCTTTATCGAGGCACGGACGATAACCACATATCTAATGCATTTCGACGTATTTCCACCTTGTGTTATGCAAATCACTCAAATAAAAGCCTCCGAAAAACGTCCTGCTGCTGAATAGAAAGTAACAGCCAACTACACCAGATTCTGACAGTGAATAGCCTACTGATGTGCAGAATCATTGTCAGTTGCACCAACACTAATTTTATGGCATCCGTATGTTTTATTTATGATTCAGTTATATTGTAATACTCAGATGGCAATTCCTAAACGGCTTAGCTTGATTTTTGAAAGAAAAGGTCCAGCCCTAATACAACACAAGACTTATTGGCGAGAGAGGGAGGAAGAGAGAGAGAGAGAGAGAGAGAGAGAGACAGCGCACGCTGAAACGGTGGGTCTGACATTTCTAATTGCTTTTTCACTTTATTAAAAAAAATACCCACCGAAGCCTGACTATGCTTCTTGTGCCACGGACCGGTACAGCACTTTTAAAGCCCAGGCAGGCATCTGCGGGCTAGGATCGAAGCTTATATTTAAAGCATTATTGGGCTCTTATTTCACCTGGATAAACGAGAAACACTTGGAACTGCAAAAGGACACTCCCGAGAAAACATTAAAACACTTTCCGGTAATTAAAACCTCTGCTGAGCCTTTTGCAGTCAGTATGAGTGCGGACTGCAGCGGCTATTACAGTGCAGAGAAGGTGTTTGTGGATGCCTTCACCTGTCCCAAACCTGAGAGTGACGCCAGGGCAGTCTTCTGCTGCGGGTTTAATGACATTAAGTACTGCTGCGACGACCCGAATAGCTTCTTTCCCTATGAATATGGATACATGTGGTGGCTGAGGTAAGTAACTCAATGACATAGAAAGGTGTACTTGATCTGTAACATGATTTCAGAACGGGTTTACTATCGCATCGGGCATAGTTTGTTTCATACATATTTTAATGGGGACATTTCGATACTGATGTACAGTTTTCACTAACCAGCCGTCGGTAAACTTGCGTTTCCACGTAAAAAGTTTGCTGCTTTTTACCGGTAAATACAAGAGCACCTGTTGCATACATGTAAATGAACTCAAGTTAAACGCGATAGACATATATTAAGTTTGTGAATTCCTGTACCTGAACATCACGATCTTATGTTGCACATATGATCCTCAATAGTCTTATTAGGTTCTTGCTTCGTTTGGAAGATGTTGCGTAGCTCCTGGTCCAACACTGCTTACACTTGTACCTGGTCACAGTGGTCAGTCACTGGAAGCTCAGCACAGCCGCATTTATGCCGAGTCGACTCCGTGACAGTATGTTTGTAATGTGCTGTTTGCCTCCCTCCTATATGACTTCGGACAAAAGCGTCTGCTATAAAATGTACAATCATATGTCGTTTAATTGCAGGAATATATTCTAAGAAATGTGTCAATAGGCGACTTCCTCTTAGTATGAACATCATAGTGTGTACTTACACAATCCTAGATATTAGGCCTATTCCCTACTACACACATAGGCTACAATATACTTTTTCATAATAGAAAGGGTATACTCTAAAATAATGATAAAAGTATACAGTATAGTAAACACATAAAACAGTAACATAGTTATCACTATCAGGTATTATGTACTTACATAATTGTGTGTGCTATACTCAGGGGCGGATTAACGCACAGGCTAGATATGGCTTAAGCCTAGGGGCCCCACGTGTGCCAGCCTGCAAGGGGGCCCCCATTGGCGCGGAGGGGGGCGGGGTTGAGGGGCCCACAGACCACTGTAGCCTAGGGGCCTCTGTGCACCTTAATCCACCCCTGGCTATACTTTTATATGACTGGCAGTGTAGGAGGTTTGTTTACACCAGCATCACCACAAACATGCAAATAATGCGAATAATAAGTGCTAAAATGCTAAAGTGATCATGTCAGTATGCAACAGGAATTTTTCAGCTCTGTTACAGTATTATCATATGCACTGTCTGAAAAAGGGTACAGCCCTGGGACAGCTTTGTTTCCCAATTTACAAACAAGATTAATGTACCCCCAATTGTACAAAAGTATTCCTCAGAGTCCATTTCTGTACTTTAAAAGGTACATTTGCCGACAGCTAGGGTACAATTGGCAGGCCCTTGAGTGTACTGCCTCGTGGCAAGTAATTGTACCCTCAAAGGTTCAGGACCACTGTTGTATATGAGGTCCATCATTGACCGAAATGTTGTTATGCGGCGTATAAACGAGTTTCTCCAGAAAGAAAATGTGGGTACAAGGGTGGATGGAAAACTTGGCCAGTGCTGAAGGGCTGTGTGGTCCAGTGGGTTTAGGCGTCCCGTCATGGTACGACTTTATTAATGTTTGGCAGACTGCCCCTGAGGGAGTCTCTCTTTGGGCTGCTTCCGAAATGTGAGTCAGCTGGAGCCCTTAGTGGGAACCAGGCATGGAGGGTTAGGGGAGAAGCAACCTTTTGGCAGCTGGTTCAAAATGGAGATGCTGAAAGTCTGACAGGGGACTGCTGTCCGTGGTACTGAGCGAGGATCGCAGCCGCCCATCTTTTGGCTGAAGCGGCAGGAGTTTCCGGGCTCCGGGGGTAATGTCATGACGATATTCAGCATAGATTAAGAGATTCAGTTACGGAGCCCTAAGCATTGTAACAACTAAGGCGCATAACCTAAGTGATATTAAACGTACTGCGATTGTTGGTGCTAGATGTAATGGTTACAGCATCTCAGAGAAAGAGGTCAAAGGAGATTCATTGAAGTTAACAGGAAGGCTGCAAGTACTAAATCCTTAAATGAGGAACCCTCTGAGTGTTGACCCTTCAAAATGGTCTTGGAGACGAAAGTTGTTGCTACCTATTAAAGTGGCAACTGAGTTTGTAATCAGCAGTTTAACCTTCTATTTGACTTTTAAGAAAAAAGATGTTGAATGTAGAATCACAGCGTAGCAGAAAACATGTAACTAAGCAAAACATGGTTTTCGGTAATGTTGAAAAAAACATCTGCGATTCTGATTGCCTAATGGATACTATGAAATAAGAAGCTCTTTCACTTCTGGTAACAGCCTGCGTTCCTCGAACCATATATGCGATTAAGCAGAGATGGGAAACTTCTGTATGTCAAAGAAGTGGCAATTAAAAATATTGCAGCGAAATGTACTTACTAATCTATGTCAAGCTATGGTCAAGTATCCCAGACAGTCCTGCATCTCCCAGGCCGAATTGTTGTCTTGGAAACACAGAGTATGATGGTTCAAATGCCATTTTCCATCAAAGCAGATCGATCGATGCTGGGAAAATGATGGTACCAGAATTGAGGGTTCTTGGAAGTATGGCTGGATGCAGAGATATATTTTAAATACATTTAATTGTTATACTGCCCCTGTCTGTGTGTAGCTCAGACCTGTGCTGCACTGGATAGGCCCCAGACCCCGTGTGACCCTGACCAGCTGAAGTGGATAGATGATGGCCGAGCGTAACTTTGATTCAAGGCCGGTGTAAAAACTGGGCAGGATGATTGACTTTTCCTGACTGACTATAAGGTGGCACTTGGGCAAAGCCATATTCTCTAGTTTTGGTGTCTAGGTTTCTGTTGTTCTAACCCTATCCTGTGTTTGTTTGTTGGTTGTGTAGCTTTTTTTCGGTCTATAATGTCACTATAGCTTATTTAAAGTTAAGGCACAATCCAATTCTGCTGCACACCCAGAGCACTAAACATCCTATTTATTGTTAGAAAAGACTTTTTATTTTACACATATTTCTTTCACATATTTTCTTTTCCACCAGTTATGCTTCTACAATCATGTCTGTTTGGAATAATTTGTTTTCTTTCATTGATATATTGCTTTTCCATTTTTCTGCCTTGATATGTTGGGGCAGAGGTAAGTTCAATCGTGAATATTAATCCTCTGACTAAAAATACCTGCTTCTTTGGTCCCAGTGTGTTCTAAGGTGTATAGTGGGATTTGTTTTGTGACATTAAAGAGATTTTGAAGCATCCATAGAGTGTAGATGTTGCAGAAGGTCTGTATGAAAATAGTAGAATGGAAGGAGCCAAAGGTAACAATGGAGGTGTTTCACTAGTGGTTTCACTCTAGTGTTTCACTAGAGTTAAGCCTGATATAGGCCCCTAAGCTGTTGTAGTGTTTAATTCCTCACAATCAAGCCTTGGTAAGGCTTAATAAAAAAACTAACTTAAATATGAGAGTGTGATGAAATAGTACCAGTTTACCTTAATTGACGGATGTGCTGCAAACCAGCCATTAAAATTAGCCCCATTTTGGTAACAACAGGTTAATAAACATGAAAAAAGAATTAGACAAATTTTCTTTAACTGCACAGAGAAACAGGGAGTTCAGTGTGGACAGAATGTATGTAAATTTAGCCTAATTTACTGCACAGAGAAATAGGGAGTTCAGAGTGGGCGGGATGTGTGCAAAGTTCAGCCTCTGAGTCCATAAAGAGCTGGCGTAAACAAATCACAATTAATGAATGTATGAAACTGCCAGAGGAACTCCAAGCATTGGAAATAGGTCATATAATATATATACATTACATATAGGATATATACATTACTGTGTTGTAGCTCAAGGGCCTTTTCAGACCTGATTCCAGGAATAAACGATTCATTATATACTAAAATACTGGAATGCATGTTTTTGGACCATGGGAGATCAACTGAATAATCAAGGAGAAATCCATAGAACATGAGGAGAACATGCCTGCTACACACACACACACGCACACAAACACACACACGCACACACACACACACATGCACACACACACACAGACAGAATGGAGGCGGCATTCAGACCAGCCCCTGCAGGTGAGAGGCAACAACGTTTGAGACACTATGTTATCCTAACAGGGATCTCATTAAAGCATATTTCATTGTTCCTGACGGTTTTATTGAAGTCCTGTGTAATCTGTGTGCCAGAATGTTTATTTGGAATAGGGACCAAGGCACTGGCGTCTGTGTTTCTGGCAGACTGCAGGAGTGAATTTGCTTCTGGCTAATTTAATTTGCGTATCTCTGACAGCGTGGGAGCACTGGTGGGCCTGTCCGTCGCCGCCGTTATTCTGCTGGCCTTCATCGTGACCCTCTGTGTCCTCTGCTACCTTTTTATCGCCACGAAGCCCAGCCAGCTGGACAACGGCTTGCAGCTGCAGGCTACAGGTGAGGCATTGAGAGTGGTGGTTGCTGTGATGCTGTACTATAGGTGAGGCAGTATGGATGATGGGTGCCATAATGCTGTACTACAGGTGAGACAGAGAGAGGGTGATGGTCGCTGTGACGATATGCTACAGGTGAGACAGTGAGGGTGATGGTTGCCGTGACACTGTGATACGAGTGAGCAGTGAGGGTGATGGTCCCCGTGATGCTGTGCTACAGGTGAGACAGTGAGGGTGATGGTTGTCCTGACACTTCATTGTCCACTGGGGGCTTTTCCACCTGCATTTGAAGAGATATGCAGAACTGACTCTTCAATGTATCAAAAAGCAGGAAAAGCAGGGTTTCAGCTATAAAACTTTTAAAGCATTTTAAGCAGTGTGTGAAATACGGGGGGGGGGGATCCGAGGGGGTCCGACACCCTCGATTAACCAATGAGACCCCCTGAAAGCCTCAAAAGCAAAATTTTAAGAGGGTCTCAAGATCAGTATTGCGCAACAATAGGGAGATGGGGACCCCCCCCCCCAAATATTTCGCACACTGATTTTAAGCATTAATTAAACTTTATTTCTCATGTGCCCCCTGTGATAGGTTGGCGCCCCATCCTGAGTTATTAAGCTATGGGCCACCTTGTGCCCAAAGCTTCTGGGATAGGCTCCAAACCCCCGTGACCTTGTGTAGGACAAGCTGGTATGGACAATGAATGGATGGCACGATCCTTTGATCAAATAATGCATTTTACAAAAACATTGATCAACTCAACCTCAAGTAATCCTGTGATGGGTCATTATTATAGACTATAAAGTTTGTGAATTGATGATTCTGTATGAGTATTTGGAAGCCAATATTAATCGCTCTTGTGAAATATCCATCCATCTTTCATAGCTGCTTATCAGTGCAGAGTGATGAGAGTGATGACATATATCTGGTAATGAGTAAGTGCCGGAAGCTTCCAAGGTCAATGGAAATAGGGGGCAGTAGAGAGCCTCACTTGTTACTTCCCCAAACTGCTTCGTTTCTTGTGGTTAGAACACAGGACAAAAGCCAGGGTTACACATTGGACAGGAGGCCAGTTTGACTGGAAACATCAAAAATTATTGCCAAAAAAAAGACTACAGCTACTTCATCTAAAACCTGTCTGAATATTCTTTATATTGTAACCTATTGGTACGTCTGTAATTCAGATATTTAGGGAACTCATATTTGTAAAGATTCTGATTGATTTGTAGTTTTGTTGCTGTTTTATTATTATTAATGGTTATTTAATATTTTTTTTTATGTGTTTGTCCTGCGGTAGCTCTGGCCTTGTCACTAATCAAAAGTTTTCTCAAGGATTCTTTCTCAGGGTGCATATGTCTCTTATAGTATCCCACCTATTCTGGCCTTCTAACCATTTCACAGACTAACTGTTATGGATAATTGGAAGGATAGTCAAAGGCTGATTTCTGTAAAAAACTGGCCTTGGTCAGTAGACCACCATTTTCACATGGTTTCTCTGGGAAAATGAGTGGCATTATTTTCAACCACAGCAGAAATGTGTCTCTGTGTAAAGGCCAGTGGAAGGACTGCCTGTTACCTGCCTAGACTGAAACTGGTGTCGGCAATAAGCAATTTGCCATTTAATTTAATTTACCATTTATAGAAGCGTTCTGAGCAAGAATAAGCTTTTGGGTCTGTTTTTTTTGCCAAGAGAAAACTCCAGGGATCCAATAAGAAAAGTCAAATCCCTTAACCAAACATTTTATTATATCTGCCAAATGCCTTAAGACCTCCCGGATGGGTGAAATCTGCCATAATCTCAGAACTGCATTGCCTCACAGTGGAGCTTATCGATCTCTGCCAAAGGACATGTGATCAATTATGTTGGGTACTGCTCTGTGCTGGCAGAGTGAAGTGTTTGGAAAAGGTAAAAGTGTCTGTAGAGAATGCCACCTGTTTCTCTGCTGATAAGTCTGTAGGTGGAGTGGGTGGGTGGGTGTCCTCCATTTGTGTGCATGACATGTAAGGTAAGGTAAAGTTTATTGATCCCAAAAGGAAATTCTTTTGCATATACCAGCAAGGAATGTAAAGCACAGGCATACCTGTAGTGCAAAAATGAAGTGCAAAGATACAAAGCACACATAGTGCAGACAAATTTAAAAAGTACACAGTATACAAACAGAATATAAATAAAAATAAGTAAATTAGAGGATGCTATGTGTGCAATTAAAAACAGATAGCATTGTATGGCACCGATGGGATGCTTTTTGATGCGTTATGTCTGGAGGTTGGGGTGGCACCTCATTCAGATTCAGATTCAGATTCAGATGCTTTATTGTCATTGTTGTTTCCACAGCAATGAAATTTTAAAGGTGCATCATCTCCAGTGTCACAATCAAACAGTAGTCACATAGTAACAATAAAACATCAAATAAATAAACAAACAATAAATAAACAAATAGACCAGCATGATAAAGTCATACCTCATGGTTTCAAGATATTGCACTTTTCGCCTATTGCAAATATCAGCATTAAAATTACGCAATGAGTCCAACTTAGTTGTAACCATGAGACTGAATTGTAAACATGTAGGTGCACTAGATCAGATTACCAGCTTAGCAGCATTCGGTATGATGGTGGCTGAAGGATAGAAACATGGGGGGTAAGTGCACGATATGTACAGATATGTCTGCTGTGTCACAGCAAGGATCTCGTCATCTTGTTTTTTTTGTTTTAAATATGTCATGAATGCATCTACATATGACATCGTCAGTGAAGAAAGAGCAGAAAGATTTTCTCGCAGCAGACAAGTTATTTACTTCAAAATTTAATTAACAAAGAAGGTATGGATCAGATCTTAGATATTCTGGGCTGTGATCTCTGTCTGGGAAGTGGAGTAGATAATCAACACAAAGGTAGTTGTGCTTCAGCTAAATACACAGGAAGTGAAGGGGGAGAGAGATTCAACACAACAGCATCCATGATGACCCCCAGCTCCCTGGGCGCCGCTATGGGTGGCTGCCCTTCACAGACAGCTTACTCTACAAAGAGCAGGTTGAGGGAGGCATAAAGACAATTTTCCCACGGGGATTAATAAAGTGATGATGATGATTATTATTATTATTATTATCTTACCTGGCCTTGGCTAATTGTATGTGTTTATAGTTTGCTGACCTACCAAAGTTGTGGCCAGCCACTATCTATGTACTGCCTTCATCTTTTTTCACTTATGCGACCAACAAGTCTGACCTCAGACAAATAAACAGAGCAGCAGCTTAATATTTATATGAATGATTGTTGTTTTCTGAATTTTATAAATAGCCACTATCATTTTCAGCGAATCTGTGCTATGTAAAACTATGTTAAACTATTTTATTTATCAGTATTCGAAAACTGGTGAAGGTTTGTGATTTGGATAACTAGAGGACAAATATGAATTCCTTTATGTACATTGGATGGTAGACTACACAAAAAGGTGTTTTCCGTCATTTTAACTCTGTTCATCTTCTTTTACCACTTGTCCTAATCAGAATTATGGGGGGGGGGGTGTCTAGAGACTCTCTCAGAAACTACATACACAGGGCAGGGAGCAACTCAGGATGAGGGGGCAACCATCACAGGGCACAGTCACACACTGTTCACTCTTATGGGCAATTTGGTGACTCTAGTTAACCTTGGCGTGTTTTTGAACTGTGGGGGGAGAGCAGAGTACCTGGAGGAAACCCCAGGAGGAAACCCCAGGGGGAAACCCCAGGAGGAAACCCCAGGGGGAAACCCCAGGAAGACACGGTGGAGACTTGAACCCTAGTCCCAGAGGTCTGAGGCAAAAGTGCTAACCATTGCACTCATGTCAACTTGGTAAAGAAAAAAAGAACCAACATAACAATCAGCCACTATCGCAGCCCCTTTCACTCGCTGTCCATCTCCACCACGCCTTCTCCAGGTCCCGGTGTCAGTGCCTTGGAGCAGCACGGCCACCTCAGCACTCCCACAGCGCCGCAGGGATTCTGCAAGCACTTCCTCCCCTGCAAACTGGACTGCGACAACCAGCCGCCTGACCCTGACCGACTCTTCCAGAAGTGCTTCATGGCCACCGTCACCGTAAACGTGGAGGGGCCGTCCCAAACCTGACCGCGCTGGCAGCTTGTGGGACACCAGGCTCTGCAGAAGGTGCTTCTTGTTTGCTATTTCGCTGTCGGCTGACCAGGCATAACTGGGCGAGCCTTTAATTTGCTGCTCCTTTATTTCCTTTGAAAGGACACAGTGGTTGGTTTCAGTATAGAGATGCTCACACTGACTTAATAAATAGACTGTCAAGCCTTCATACAGTGTTGATTGTACGTTGGGTTTGGGGTCGTTGTGTTTGGAATCGATGTGACGATGTTCTTTTCACGGTGTTCGGATTGTTCAGTGCAATCTGCGAAGTAGCTGGAATTTGCTGCTTTTCTTTGATATTTGCCAGCATGCATACAGGGTCATTATTTTGTACCTTTGTCATAAGTGCCCATCTCCAAGTGTGCAGGAGTTGGATTTTCCCTGTATCCTTCTTACTTTTTGTTTGCCATTCTAAAAAGTGCCCTTGAATTTGCAGATCACCAATGTCTAAGGAGTTCATATTTTTCTACAACAGTGATTCATTCAGTTTGCAATATTAACATAATTATGAGGCAAGTTAAAGTTTGATTTCACCCAAAGAACTCACAAGGTTTCCATTACAATATTAGTCATTACAAAAAAATAAAATGTTGAATAGTTATTTGGAGTGTTTTCCCCCATTATATTCAATGTAATACTTACCGTTAAAGACCTTTAAACAAAATTTTAAATCACATTCAAGCAACACACCCCTTTTGTATCAAAACCTTAACACTACTAAAGCAGTTACAGAACACAGAAGATCCTTTCATTGACTGAAGTAACAGATAATTTCTGTCTGCTAGTAAACCACTTACATGAAAGGTAGATGTGGAGTAGAAATGTGTGTTCACTCAGTGTGGCTATTGAAGAGAATTTTTATAGCTGTAAAACCACATAGGCCCTCCTGGGAAATAGGCCCTTTAAACATGAATCTTTATGCTCCCAGTCACAATGTCAATGAGAAGTACCACCAATTCTTCATATTAATCCAGTGTAATCTTTTATATGTTAATTAAAATTGAGGTCCACTAAAAATAGTTATCTGTCATAATTAATTCTTTATTTAGCGCATAATTATCATGTAGTTGAACCTGCACTATGATTAAAGCACAGGAGAGACCTACTGGGTTTTGCAGAAAAACACACTCAAAGGTAGGACCTGGAAGGAGATAGAATATGTTTTTTCTAACTCTGAATAACATTGTTATGGATGGTCCAATGGGTCACTGTGACCTCTCACATAAGAATCTCAAATATAGATTATTATTAGTGTTATATTGTCCATCCATCCATCCATCCATTATCTATACCGCTTAATCCATCTGGATCGTGGGGAAGCTGGAGCCAATCCCAGCATCTTTGGGCAAGAGGCAGGGGTACACCCTGGGCAGGCCGCCAGCCCACCACAGAGTATTATATTGTTTTGCACATAAACTGCGTATATTTTATGTGCATCAGACATTGGTAGTAGCATCATTTTGTTAATGAACACAAAGGGGGATGGTGTGTGACTCATTGGGCTAAGCCCAGCCCCCCCACCTCCCTCCCATGGGTGCCCGCCCTTCATAGCCAGCTTGCACTCCCCTACAGAGAGCAAGATGGTGGAGGTGAAAAGAGAATTTCCCCACAGGGATCAAAAACAAGTGTGTGCGTGTGTGTTTGTGTGCATATATATATATATATATATATATAAATATCTCCTCCTGAGACCCAAGGAAAAAAGTGTCCTTCAATTGTAGGTTATTTGTCTTTGGAGGAAATAAGACATCTTACAATTTAGATTTTTTCAAATTTATTGTTATTTTAATTTCGCAGCATGTCCTCTTTAGTGCACAACAAGAATAAATACATTTCCCAACATCAGTGAAAAAATAAATGCAAAAATACGATGTCCGCTACAATGGACATAAATGAATAGGTCGGGTCTCAGGAGGATATATATATATATACTAAAATCTCACTATTATGCAACAAAACTATATATATATATATATAAGTAGTTTTGTTGCATAATAGTGAGATTTTAGTATTCTGTATTATTATCAGAAATCAGCACAAAACTCCAACAAAATATTAATTCAAAATAGTTTTGGATCATAGTAAAGTGCCTAGAGTCTAACACAGCAACCTGGGATTTTCTCTCCTGATGTCACACTGGGGGCGTTGACACATCTCATCTGTGGTCTTAATATAATAAGTAAAGGTTCACACTCAGAGGCGGAGGTAGCAGTGCCATTTGCCACCACCCAAAAGACATTTGCAAGGGACGCCTATTGGCCAGAAGCAGTCACTACACTGAATATTAAATATTAAATGGATATTACAGCAGTCACTGCACTGAATATTAAATAAACTTGTTCCTTATTTATCCATATTCTGCTGACTAACTAGTTAGCTACCATCTCCCTAGCTGGGTTTTTGGAACATCCATAGTGACAGACATTCACAGAACCGTGCAATGAAACAAAAGTGATCTAAATTAAAATATCAAAATATTTTATTGTCTGGTGTTTTTCTGAAATATGCTAGGTTATTGCTTAGTTATGTTTTGATTATACCTCACTAATTTGTTCTTGAAGAATGTGCAAAGCGGACATGACTCCACAAGTAGACAGCATCTCCATACAGCCTAATAACCACAGCAGAGGTGTTAGGAGAAACTGACAGATGTGTGTACATGTCATGCATAGCGCCATCAAGTTTATTATCCTATTCGCCTGGAAGCAAGCGAAGGCCATGTGGACAGCAGAGATGAAGAGTTCAGGTCCAGAAAGTACAAATCCAGACCAAGACTTTGTTTCAACCAACCAGTTGAGTATAAAGAGTCACAGTCACAGAGTACTCAACTGGTTGTTGAACATTTGAGTTGCAATTTAGGACAGAGCATTTTACTGTTAATGAAGTCGTGGTCAGAATCTTCTCAGGGCCAGAACCCAACAGCTCCACCTGCAAAGCTAAATATTACCCCACTTTGCCTTGTCTCCCACAGCACCGGTATAGACGATGATATTTAACAAATGTCATTATAGGAACTTTAATTAGTTTTAATTCTCTCTCTGTTTTCCTGTCCACCCACAGACTACAATCAGCTTTTCATTGCTGTATGTAGTTTTTGCAGTACCCAGCTTATTGATCAGCCATTCAGTCACATTGTGTTGAATGGGGTATTTTTAACAATTTTGAAATAGTGTTTTGTGTTAGTGGTGCAGATTTGGACATATTACGCCGCAGTTCCCAATGTTTCATTTATGACCTAATGAAAGTTATGTGTTTTTATTCTAAACTCAGACAGACAGACAGACATCACACACACGTCAAAGGACCTCAGCTTCCGCAGAAAGAAGAGGCGACTCTGCCCCTTCTTATAAAGAGAATCTGTATTTAGGGACCATTCCAGTTTATCATCCAAAATGACCCCCAGATATTTGTAGGAGGTCACCACCTCGATGTCCTGCCCCTGTATGGAAACTGGCAGATGTGGTGGCCTAGATCTTCTAAAATCCACCTATGCTATGATAATGCTAACTCAGTTCCACACTGGGCTTGTTTGCTGATCTTTCCTGATTTTCTCTTAATCATAACAAAATCTCTGTCAAGTAACCTTTGTAACCACCTAATAGGAAGATCCTAGGGCTGAAGTGGACTCTAATTACTGACCCTAATGCAGGACAATAAAATATCCCCAGAAAAAGCAACCCAGCTCTAAACGCCAGCAAACACCTGGGCATTCTTCCAGCGAGCTATGAATATGGATATTACCCACTACTTCCAACTTTGTTACACTGCTAGTGGTTTCCAGTGAGATATGACTTGGACCTAAGCCAGGACACACCATCCTTGAGCTCTTTAGTTAAATTAGTTATTTACTTGTATTTACATTTATTTATGTATCAGACAATGTCGTCCAAAACAACGAACGAGGCAGATAGTCCATCCCAAGCATGCAGCTGCCAACTGCTTGGTTTGATTTTTATAATTAACATTATTAATGAGCAATACTCTTATGATTTCATAAAGCAGCAGGATCATAGCCTAAATGTTATACTTCCAGGCTACTCTCTCTCTCTCTCTCTCTCTCTCTGTCTGTCTCTCGAGAATTTGTAGAAGAACATTCAATACACTGAAAACTTGTATCACTTGTATTTTTGCAAAAAATACAAATAGACTAACATCATAACTAATAGAATGAGGTACAGCCTATTAGTTATGATTGTCACTAGATGACCCAGATGTCACTTCAATGGAATTTTGCATTGCATTTTTGTGCTGGTGTTTCTGTCCAAGACCCTATAACCAGTCCCCTCACAATCCAAAAACAGACTAAGGTAAATTTGAGATGCCAAATTGTATGTGTGACTGTGTGAGTGATTGGTGTGTGATTGGTGAGTGAATGTGTGTGATTAGTGTGTGAATGATGTGTGATTGGTGAGCGAATGAGGTGTGATTGGTGAGTAAATGGTGTGTGATTGGTGAGTGAATGTGTGTGATTGGTGTGTGAATGATGTGTGATTGGTGAGCGAATGAGGTGTGATTGGTGTATGATTGGTGAGTAAATGGTGTGAGATTGGTGTGTGATTGGTGAGTGAATGGTGTGTGATTGGTGTGTGATTGGTTTGCGTCCCCTGCCATGGGTTGTTGCCCCATTCAGGATGATTCCCTGCCTTATGCCTATAACTTCCAGGACAGGCTCTGGACTCTGCATTGCCGCATCTGGACTATATATATATATAGAATGTATTCATACCATCAGCTTAAACAATGTTCTGCTCAATGCTGGAAGGTGTAAGGTTTAAGGTTACTTCATGCATTAATGTTCAAACTTATAATACTTCTTATCTTCTATAAAATATGACAGAGGAGGGGGCCAGAATCAACAGTATTGACAATACTTTGCAGCATTGTATCACCTATTGTCAAAGATATATTAAGTACATAAGGACCAGATATAAGCATTCATAATTCACATGTAACCTGCACTTTCATAGAAAGACCATTTTTGAGCTGTACAATACCCAAATTAACATTTCACTCAATTATATAACTTGTATATACAACATAAATTGTAACATTGCTTAAAAGGCTCCCTTACCTGGTACAACAGCAGAGCACAGCATTTATATAAGTTAATATGTCCAATTTAAAATGCTCTATGTTTGATAGGACTGAAAAGAACTTAACAACCAACCAGCTGCCAAGCTGACCTCCTTACATGTATTTTTCTACATTTTCATACAGCCAGACACACCTGCAAGTGGCCAAATTGTGAAGAAAAACATAAATCGAATAATAGAAATTTTGCTGCAGTTTATGCTACTCAATAGCAACAGTATTATGCAAATTCAACAACAACAGTATCCTTGGAAATCAGTGTCTAACTTCAGCATTCAGGTTTTCGCTTTACATCCATGCAAACATCTTCAAAATCAAATGAAATCCCCTGAACTGGGTCCCTCTAGAACAGGGAAGAA